TGATAAAAAGTCTTTAGAGCCATCAACATCTCAAGGATGCGTTATCAGCACATCAGACGATTGTTAAATTTTATACAATGGAACAACCACTGTTGATGAATGCAGAAAGAGGTTTGTTGATGTCTGACTTCTAGATTCAGCAGTCTCCTACCACATGACCTCCCAGTGAGAATGGTTTCACAAATATGAACATATCTCAGGAGGATCTGTATTCATGGACAATGATCATGTCTTGAAGATTTCTGGTATTGACCAAAACTAAAATGTTTGATGGTACAATATGCACCGTTCAAGATGTGTGATATGTGAAGGGTTTGAAGAAGAATCTATTTTCTTTAGTATAATTAGATGAGCTCAGGTGCAAGACCCATTTAGAAAACGGGATCATGAAAATTATTAGAGGAGCGCTTATTATGATAAAAGGAGAAAAGATAGCTGCAAATCTATACATGCTCAAAGGAGAAACCCTGCAGGAAGATGATTCATGTGTGGCATCAACCAGCCATGGAGAATAATAAACCATGATGTGGCATCGCAAACTAGACCACATGTCAGAACGAGGCTTGAAGATTCTCTCCGATCAGAAGCTACTTCATGGACTTAATTCAGTAACTCTTCCATTCTGCGAGCATTGTGTTACAAGTAAACAGCATTGACTGAAGTTCAACACATCGAGTTCTAGAAGCATGGCTATTCTGGAAATAGTTCATTCTGATGTATGGCAAGCACCAGTTACATTCATAAGAGGAGCAAAATATTTTGTGTTCTTTATTGATGATTACTCCATGGGATGTTGGGTGTTTCCTATCAAGAAGAAGGCGGATGTGTTCTCAATCTTTAAAGCCTACAAAGTGCGAGTCAAGCTTGAATCTGAAAATAAGATCAAGTGCTTGAGTTCAGAGAATGGAGGAGAATACACAGACGGTGAATTTCTTACATTCTGCAAGCAAGAAGGCGTCAAAAGATAATTTAGTACTGCTTATACTCCTCAACAAAATGGAGTGGCCAAGCGGATGAACATAAATCTGTTGGAAAGAACAAGAGCAATATTGGCCACTGTAAATCTGGATAAAGTCTTTTGGAAGGAAGCAGTAAAAAATGCATGTATGTGATGAATCGATCTCCATCAACTGCAATATAGTTAAAGACGCCGATGGAGATGTGGACCGACAAGCCAGCTGATTATTCTAACCTCCATATATTTAAAAGTCCAGTGTATTTAATGTACAATGTCCAAGAAATTACAAAGCTAGATTCAAAATCCAGAAAATGCATATTCTTAGGGTATGCTGACAGAGTAAATGGGTATCGCTTGTGGGATCCCACTATCCGCAAGGTTATCATTAGAGATGTTATCTTTGAAGAGAGCCAACTACAAAGTGAAGAAAAAGAAAGAAGTTTAAGGAAGGACTCAGATATTATAGTTGTTCAGGTAAAAATGATCAAAATTCTTCTGAAGCAACACCGGAGCATGATGTACAAGAACCAGTCGAGTCCGATGTTCCAGAAGTTCGAAGGTCAACTCGTGAGAGAAGACCACTGACTTGGTACTTGGAGTATATTACGGATAGTAATGTTACATACTGCCTTCTAACATAGGATGGAGAGCCATTAACTTTTCATGAAGCTATAAATAGCACATATGCATCTTTGTGGATGGCAACAATGCAGGAAGAAATTGAAGCTCTCCATAAGAACAAGACTTGGGTACTTGTGTCACTACCACAAGGAAGAAAGACTATTGGAAATAAATGGGTCTATAAGATCAAGCGAAATTGTGATGATCAAGTGGAGTGATATCATGCTAGATTGGTGGTGAAAGGATATGCTCAAAAAGAATGTATTGACTTTAATAAAATATTTTTTCTGTAGTTCGACTTACAACAGTCTGAATAGTCCTGGCTATGAGCGTTATATTTGAATTACATCTAGAGTAGCTAGATGTGAAAACAATATTTCTTCATGGAGATAATGAAGAAGAAATTTACATGCTCCAACCAGAAGGTTTTGAAGAAAAAGGAAAATAGAACTTGGTTTACAGATTGAACAAATCTCTGTACAGTCTAAAGCAGGCATCGAGGTGTTGGTACAATAGATTTGATTCATTCATCATGAGCATTGGATACAACAGAATTAATTCAGACCCTTATGCATATTTCAAGAGGTTTGATAAAAATAACTTTGTTATCTTATTATTGTATGTTGACGACATGTTGGTTGCAGACCCCAACAAAGATCGTATCAAAGATTTAAAGGCACAGTTGGCTAGAGAATTTAAAATGAAAGATTTAGGATCTACAAACAAGATTCTAGGGATACAAATTATTCGAGACAGAATTAATAGGAAGATTTGGCTTTCTCAGAAGAATTATTTGAAGAAAATCTTACGGCGGTTTAACATGCAAGATTGTAAGTCATTTTCTACCACACTTCCTGTTAATTTCAAGTTATCCTCTAATATGAGTCCTAACAGTAAATAAGAGATGATGGAGATGTCTCGAGTACCGTATGCATCAGCAGTGGGAAGTTTAATATTCGTTATGATTTGTACAGACCAGACATTGCACAAACAACGGGTGTGGTTAGTCGATACATGGCGAATCCTGGTAAAGAGCATTGGAATGCTATAAAGAGGATTCTAAGATACATTAAGAGAACCTCAAATACTGCATTATGTTATGGGGGATCAGATTTTATTGTCAATGGATATGTTGATTCTGATTATGCAGGTGATCGTGATAATAGCAAATCCACCACAGGCTATATGTTTACACTTGCTAGCGAAGCTGTAAGCTAGATTTCAAAACTACAGTCAGTTGTGACTACTTCAACAACAGAAGCAGAATATGTAGCAGCTACATAAGCTAGTAAAGAGGTGATATGGTTGAAGATGGTGCTGGAGGAACTCGAGTATGAAGAAAAGAAGATTTCTCTATTTTGTGATAGTCAGAGTGCTTTGTATTTAGCAAGAAATCCAGCTTTTCATTCAAAGACAAAATACATTCGAGTTCAGTACCACTTTCTTCGTGAGAAAGTGGAAGAATGAATAGTGGATATGTAGAAAATTTACATCAAAGACAACCTAGCAGACTTTTTGACAAAAGAAATCAATACTGATAAATTTATTTGGTGTCGATCCTCTTGTGATCTATCTAGGACTAAGCAACATGAAAATGGTAAGATAGAAAGAATGGTGTGAAGATATAATTGATACTCAATTAAATCTTCAAGTAGGAGATTGTTGAAAGAGACATCAGCCTAATTGTTAGGCACTCTTTTGTGAGTTAGGTAGAGTTTGAAAATATTAAAAGAAAAATAATATAAAATTAGTGTATAATGATTTCAGCTACCTATAAATAGGATTAATCAGAAATAGAAATCACAACAAAAACCAATCTCCATATATATAGAAGAGTGAGAGAGAAAAAAATAGAGAGAGTTTCTCCTTATAAAGAGATATTGTAACTCCAAAGTTTTTCCTTATAATGGATTTATTCTATCATTGCCCGTGGTTTTTACCCCAAATTTATTTAAGGGGTTTTCCACGAAAATCTGTTTGTTCTTTTTATTATTTTTACTCTACTATTCGCTGAGATTTTGCTCTATTGGGCCCCGAGTTTCCACGTAAAACTTTGGAGATTGTAACTCCAAAGTTTTTCCTTATAATGGATTATTTTATCTAGATTTATAACCGAACCGAACTAAACCTACCCAAGTCTGCTCAATTCGATGTGGTTCGGTTTGGGCTTGAACTGATCCATTTAATTTAACCCCAAAAAAGCACTTTTCCTCCTTCAATCCTCTCTCTGGATCAAAACTAGCGCAATTTTTTTAAGGCCAAATTTAACTTTTAAACTGATTTTCTTTTGGATCACCTCCTCCTGGACCAAAACAAGACTGGTTTAGATTAAAACAGAGTCAAGATTAGTCCTGGTCCAGTTTTAGGGTGATTGCCGAACACACCCTCAAGTTGAAAATTTGTCCAATAACTAGACATTTCAACCTTTACCAATTAATATTGATGAAAGAAGGATGGGAGTTGCGCACACACCCTATTTTCCCGCCAAGGATGCTAAATGCAAGAGATTGTAGTTCATTTGATGAAATCAACCACAATAGAGGCCAACATTTTTTACATGTGGCCTTTCTTGTCGCCCCCCGCTTCTCTATCTCTCTGCAAATTCACAACCAGGGACCAATTGTGCTCCCTTCTTCTCTCTCATTGCATTTTTAAAAAAAAGTGTAATGAACTTATCGTGAATAAATTACACATTTAATGATTCTATATGATTCCCCAGAATTAATACACAATTGGGCTTTCTCAAGGTCTGGGCATTTTGTCTCGATTGATTCTCATTGAATCCTCCAATGTGCCCCCATTACAGAGACTCTGAATTCTTTGATGGTTTTCCGAAATCGGGCACGAAATGATTGAATGAAGCTATAAATTTCCCGATTCGTTGGTGAGTTTTTCTATCCATTTAACAGTTTTGTAGAGAATTATATCATCAATATCAGCTGGAATAATTCTGATTTCTGTGTGTTTTATTTTACCTTTTTCCTTTAGGATCGGTTGAATGAAGCCTTCAATGAGTCTCGTTATAGAGGTTTCCACTTCCTTGTTCTTCCATTAATTTGACATAAATGAGTCTTCAAAACCTTCAATGATTATCCTAAATTGGGGGGCAAAAAAAACCAATTTATTGGTATGTTCTTTATCCATTGACATTATCTGAAACAATCTTGTACGAAGCATTTCTAATCATTTTTCTTCTTCTCATAATCTATTTTCAGCAATAACAATGTCTGAAACCAAAGAATCCGATAAATCGAAGGTCACAAAATTCATTGAGAAGATCAAGAAATTGCCATCCTCGATATGTCACAAGGTATGGGATGTAGCGAAAGAAGACCCGAGGCGAGTAATTCACGCTGTGAAGATGGGCACAGCCATTACATTGGTCTCCTTGCTTTATCTCTTGGGTCCTCTATACAAAATTTTCGGATCAAATGCAATGTGGGCTGTGATGACAGTTGTTCTGGTTCTTGAATTTACCGCAGGTAAGTTTAGCCAAATAGACCATCAAATCTATTCCCCGCGAGAAATTCTGGTTCTGTTTGTGCTACTCCTGTAAGACCTGGAAATATTCTGCAGATGTTTTATTTAAACTCTTATTAATGAAAACATATGGGGTTCATGCAACCATTATTGGGTAAATTTCACAAAAAAATCCCAGAACATCCCTAACATTATGTTTCTTCTCTGATTATGTTCTTCACTGTATGTCTTCTTCCATTGCAAGGTGCAACATTGTACAAGGGCTTGAACAGAGGATTAGGGACAGTGTGCGCAGGCGGTCTATCGTTGCTCATAGAACTCTCGGCTGCAAAGGCTGGCAATGTTTATAAGGTCGTTATCATAGGCGTTTCGATATTTTTTGTAGGTAAACACAACTGTCTTCCTCTTAACTTACTATAGAAACTAGATTGTGCTGGATTTAATGAAAAAATAACTAAATTTCAAATGGTTTCTTTTAAAGACATACAATGGTTTCATTTCAGCCAGTTTTCAAATTAGTTTTGCGTGTGCTCTCTCTCCTTTTCTTTATGGTGATCATGTTTATTTAATTTAACTTGCACTAACAATTTGCAGTCTGAGGTTCATGAAGGTTTGAGTTATTTGTTGTGAAAAGATAACCCTCAAGCCTTGTTAGTCTAAGTGTGTAGACCCAAAACTGAATCAAAAAGACGAAGAAAACAGTCTAGTCGCTGGCCGGTCGACCATGATGCCTGCATGAAACTGAGAAAAAATCGACGCTCTGGTCGGTCGACCGACATGAGGAGTCCGGTCGATCGAAACGTGCACGCCAGACCCTGCAAAATTCATCATTCTGGCCGGTCGACCGACTTTGCATGTCCGGTCGACCGGAGTCGGGATTTCCAGAATCCTGATTCTTTTGGGAATCTGTTTTAGGCTGTGACTCTATATATACCTTAAACGTTTTTAGGTTTCATGTGCAATAGAAAAAGAGGTTTTTTTGAGAGGATTCTTTAGAGAAATCTCAGAGAGATAAAAATCTATTTGTGTGCATTGTAATCTTCTTCAATTAATCAAAGAATTGTGTAGTGTGGCTCCCGAGAACATAGGCACGTTGCTGACCTCGTTAAATCTAGTGTGTTCTTTCTTGTTTATTTTTCTGCAAGTTTTATCTTTTATTTGCAGTGATTTTCCTACTTTCCTACTCTCAAACACAAGGTCCGGAAGGACACGAACTCGATTTGATTATTTTGAATCCCCATCAACTGGTATCAGAGCTTCGTTCAGAAGGTTTGTGTGAGAGCCATGGCAGAGGAAAGCAAATCTAAGATCAATAAGTTTGACGACTCAGACTTCGCCTACTAGAAGTCACAAATGGAGGACCATCTGTATCAGAAGGATTTGTATTGTCTGTTGATGGGCAAAGCTAATGAAAAGAAGAAAGAGGAATCAGACGAGGAGTGGGAGATATTGGATAGGAAGACTCTAGGGCAAATCCGGTTGTCGCTCGCCAAGACAGTCGCGCACAATATATTGAAGGAGAAAACGATATTAGGGCTTATGGAAACGCTCGCGAAGATGTACGAGCAACCGTCAGCCGCAAACAAGGTGTATCTCATCAAAATACTCTTTAACCTCAAGATAGCAGAAGGACGTTCCTTCACGATGTATCTTAGTAAGTTCAACACGATTGTTGATCAACTTATCTCTATGGACATCACGTTTGATGACGAAGTGCAGACCCTATTACTTCTATCGTAGTTGTCGGATAGTTGGGTAGGTTGTCGGATAGTTGGGTAGGTTGTGTGACCGTAGTTAACAATTCGGCTGGGAAGGAAAAATTGAAGCTGGGCGAGGTTGTTAGCATGATTCTATCCGAGGAGGTTAGAAGAAAATCGTCTGAATCAGAAGGTTCAGGATCAGCCCTAAATCTCGAGCAGAGAGGCAGAATCCAGAAGAAGGATAACCAGAACAAGAATCGATCGAAGTCAACCAAAAAGAGATCAAACTTGAAAGTTAGGCCTATCAAAGGGAAGTGTTGGAACTGCGGCCAGGAGGGCTATATGTCTTCATCCTGTAAAGCACAAAAGAAGGATGCGAATAAGCAGGAGGCTCATCTCATACAAGATGCCTTGATCTTTACTATGGATAGCGATTCTGATTCATGGGTTATTGATTCGGGAGCCTCGTTCCATGCCATTGCAAATAGAAAGCTTCTTCATAACTATGTAGCAGGGGGCTTTGGGAAAGTATACTTGGGAGATAATAAACCATGTAGTGTTGTTGGAAGAGGTAATGTGCAAACACAGTTAAAGGCTCTAAGTGGAATCTGAAGAATGTCAGACACATACCGAAGCTAAAGAGAAATCTTATTTTCGTTGGCCAGCTTGGAGCGGAAGGCTATGTTTTAACATTCATCGAGGATTCGTGGAAAATCTCTAACAGCACGGTGGTGGTTGCCCAAGGCAAAAAAACAAGAACTCTCTACCTCACCTCACATGCGAGTGACACCCTCGCAATTGCAGCTGACAAGGAGAGTGTTGTGGCACAATAGGCTAGGACACATGAGCGAGAAAGGGATGAAAATTCTACATTCACAAAAAAAGCTAACTGATATCGACTCAGTGGAAGTTGGTGTTTGCGAGGACTGTATCTATAGGAAGCAGAAGAGAGTTAGTTTTCAGAAGGGTGGAAGACCACCTAAAGCTCAGAAGCTAGAGCTTGTTCATACAGACGTATGGGGTCTAGCTAGTGTGTCTTTTCTTGGTGGTTCGGTATATTATGTTACCTTTATCGACGATCACTCGAGGAAGGTGTGAGTATACTTCATGAAGCACAAGTCAGAGATGTTCGGGATCTTCAAAAAATGAAAGGTCATGGTGGAGAACGAGACAGAACTAAAGGTGAAATGTCTGAGATCAGACAACCGTGGAGAATACGAGCTGGAGGAGTTCAAGAGGTTTTGTGTTCTAAACGGGATTCGTTTGGAGAGGACTACTCTAGGGATGTCGCAGCAGAACGACGTTGCAGAAAAGATGAACAGAATATTGACGGAGCGTGCCAGGAGCATGCGATTACATGCAGGACTGCCTAAGATATTTTGGATGGATGCGGTATAAACAGTAGCTTACTTGATTAACCATGGGCCATTAGTTCCATTGGAATTCGGGATTCCAGAGGAGGTTTGGAGTGGCAAGAAGATCAATCTATCATACTTGCGAGTATTTGGTTGCGTGTCATATATTCATATTAGTGACTATGTCAGGGACAAGTTAGAAGCTAAGTCACATAAGTGTACATTCATTGGATACGGTATTGATGAGTTCGGGTATCCTCTTTGGGATGAGAAGAACAGGAAGATTATCAGGAGCAGGGATGTGATATTCAATAAGGAGGTGATATACAAGGACAAGGATAATGCCAAGGATAGCTAAAACTGTGAGAGCAGCACTAAAGATACAGATGGATCCGAGTACATGGATTTAATGGAACTTCTAGATGGGGGAGATAGTGCTAGTTCTGACCGAAGTACGGAGGAGACTCCAGGTGCAAAAGTTACTATCCAGGGCATAGAGCTTAGGAGGTCATCCAAGCTACCCAAACCGAATCTTAGATATCTCTCATCACTTGATTACTTACTTTTAACAGATAACGGAGAGTCGGAGTGTTATGAGGAGGCTATGCAAGTTAGTGAATCTCAACAGTGGGAGCATGTGATGTAAGAAGAAATGGATTCTCTCCACTCGAATGAGACATGAGAGTTAGCCCAGCTACCTGCACAGAAGAAAGCCTTGCATAACAAATGGGTCTATCGGGTCAAGCAGAAGAGTGATGGAAGCAAGCGGTATAAGGTCAGATTAGTCATAAAGGGGTTCCAACAGCGAAAAGGAGTGGATTATTCTGAGATTTTTTCCCTTGTTGTGAAGCTTATAACCATCAGAGTGGTGTTGATCTTAGTAGCTACAGAAGATCTCTATCTTAAGCAGCTAGATGTGAAGACTGCTTTTCTTCATGGTGACTTGGATGAAGAAATCTACATGAAGCAACCTGTTGACTTCATTAAAGAAGGAAATAAAGAGATGGTGTGTAAGCTCAAGAAGAGCTTGTACGGTTTGAAACAGACTCCGAGATAGTGGTATAAGAAGTTCGATAACTTTATGCAGAGCAATGGCTATGGAAGATGTAATTCAGATCATTATTGCTACTTCAAGAGGTTCGAGTCCAGCTATATCGTGTTATTATTGTATATTGATGACATGTTAGTCGTAGGACCGTGTTTAGAGGTGATAAACAACTTGAAGAAGCAGTTGGCGAAGAATTTTGCTATGAAAGATTTGAGTGCAACGAAGCAAATTCTTAGGATGCGAATCAGTAGAGATGAAGCTGAAGGGACGTTGAAGTTGAGTCAAGCTGAATACATTGAGAAGATACTTTAGAGGTTCAACATGCAGAATATTAAGGTTGTTAGCAAGCCCTTTGGAAGTCAGTTCAAGTTATCTGAGGAGTAATCACCCAAGACAGATGCAGAGAAGGATCATATGAGTAGAGTGCCATATTCATCAGTCATTGGTAGTTTTATGTACGCGATGGTTTGCACGAGGCCAGATATTGCCCGTGCAGGAGGGGTTGTGAGCAGGTTTGCAAACAATCTAGGGAAGCAGCATTGAGAGGCCGTGTAGTGGATATTACGTTACTTGAGAGGGACTACGAAAAAGCCACTATGTTTCAGGAGGAATGATTTGGTATTGCGGGGATGCGGATTTCGCCGGTGATCATGATACTAGGCGAAGTACCATAAGGTATGTTTATACTTTGGCATCGACAGTAGTGAGCTGGGTCTCACATCTGTAGAAGATTGTAACATTGTCCATAACCGAGGCAGAGTATGCCACAATGACTGAAGCCAGCAAGAAAATAATTTGATTGACTGGGTGCCTGGAAGAGTTAGATCTAAAGCGGGGGAACAGAGTTCTTTATTGTGATAGCCAGAGCACTATACACGTTACCAAGAATCCAGTATATCATGTCATAACAAAGCATATCGACGTACGATGTCATTTCATACGTTCGCTGATTGAGGACGGAAAGTTACAGCTAAAAAAGATTTTGGGGAGTCAAAATCATGCGGATATGTTGACGAAAACAGTGGCCATCGAGAAACTGGAGTTGTGCGCAACTTCAGTTTGCCTTTACGCGTAGGAGTTGAAGGCGGAGTCACACCAAGAGGATCGGCAGGATCACCGGATTGATGATGATTGAAGAATGGATTTTTTCCGTGTAGGAGAAGATGCTTGCGAAGAAGGTAGGAGTTTGGGTGAGCTCGTTGATAGTGCTTTGGTCTCCAAGTGTGAGATTGTTAGTCTAAGTGTGTAGACCCAAAGCTGAATAAAAAAGACAAAGAAAACAGTTCAGTCGCTGGCTAGTTGACCGATGGAGGAGGTCTAGTCGACCGCGATGCCTGCAGGAAACTGAGAAGAAATCGACACTCTGGTCGGTCGACCGACATGAGGAGTCCGGTCGACCGAAACGTGCACGTCAGACCCTGCAGAATTCACCGTTCTGGCCAGTCGACTGACTTTGTATGTCCGGTCGACCGGAGTCAGGATTTCCAGAATCCTGGTTCTTTTGGGAATCTATTTTGGGCTGTGACTCTATATATATCTTAAACGTTTTTAGGTTTCATGTGCAATAGAAAAGGAGGGTTTTTGAGATGATTCTTTAGAGAGATCTCACAGAGATAAAAACCTATTTGTGGGCATTGTAATCTTCTTTAATTAATCAAAGAATTCTGTGGTGTTGCCCCCGATGACGTAGGCACGTTGTCTAACCTCGTTAAATCTGGTGTGTTCTTTCTTGTTTACTTTCCTGCAAGTTTTATCTTTTATTTACGGTAAATTTTCCTACTTTCCTACTCTCAAACACAAGGTCGTCCAGAAGGGCGCGGATTTGATTTGATTGTTTCGAATCCCCATCAAGCCTCACTACAACTTTAGAGTTTTGGTGCATTGGCAAAGTTTTTTTGATATGGTACCAGACTAACCGAGGTTCAATTTCCACCAATCACGAATTGAAAGCGAAATTTTAAATAAATTGATATCGTTGCATGAGTCCTCTGGCATTGTTTATCTATTGAAATTTGCTTTTATATTGTTTTCTTCATAGGAGCCGGAGCCACATTTGTGAGATTCATCCCATACATAAAACAGAACTACGACTACGGAGTGATAATTTTCCTTCTAACTTTCAATCTCATAACAATATCAAGCTTCAACGTCAAAGACCTCCTTGGAATGGCACGTGAACGCCTGTACACGATAGGTTTCGGTTCTGCGATCAGTCTCTTCATGTGCCTCTTCATTCTACCAAATTGGTCAGGCCAAGATCTTGAGAAATCTACTGTTAACAAACTCGAAGCCTTAGCGAAATCTATTGAAGGTGTGCAGTGAGTTTTCTACATTAGCCAAATCTTCAACGTGAATGCACTTCAGTTGAATGTGTTGTGTGTATCAATGCCTGCAGCTTGTGTGAATGATTATTTTGAAGATACGGAGATCAGAGATGAGAAATCATCGAGGTACCAGACGTATAAGGGTTATAGAACAGTTTTGGACTCGAAATCTACGGACGAAGCTCAAGTATGTTTTCTTCTTGTGAAAATTTTTTAAAAAAACCTCGCTTTTAATTTTGGCCCAATTTTATGTTTGGGGTGTTTCAGAAAACCACCCAAATATTTTCCAACCTTTTCAACTTGACGTTAAATGAACTGGTAAAAAGATCAAAATGGCCTTTAGAAAGTAACAGTCTGATGATCAAATCAAATTAATTAATCGGTGCCATTTGGACAAATTTGGACCACGCTTAGGGGGGTTATGTGAACTTTAAAATCACTAAAAAGGACATACAAGGGGGTTTTCCACTGGGGACATTTTGGTCATTTTGGGGCACGTGATTTTGTGAAATTTACCTTTAATTCGAGCTCGGTTATAAAGATTATCATGATGTTTTTGATTAGGCATTGTTTGCCAGTTGGGAACCAAGGCACTCAAGGCGACGATATCCCTGGCAGAGATACGTGGAGCTCGGGACAACCCTTCGACACTTTGCATATACTGCCGTTGCATTGCATGGCTGTTTGGAATCTTCAATTCAGGTATGAATTAATACCAAACACTGCTTTCTAGTTTGTAAACATGTTCCAATTCATAATATTTTTGGTACTGTTGTTTGTTTAGTTTCATTGAGAGCATGACATTTTGCGTTAGCCATATGTATTGATTGTCAGACATTACTTTCATTCTTTCTGATTGATAAGTTGTAGTTATGTGGATGGTTTCGACGCCAAAAATGACCACAATCAGTTTATTGCATTCATTTGGACTAGACATGAATATATTGCTTGCTTTGTTGGGGGGTGAATTTTCACATTAAACATAAAAAAATAGGCCTTTTTTTAGTATTAGTCCCTTAAACGTTTCATAATTTGTACACAGAGAAGTACATAAAATGGACCCAGTCTATAGTATTAACAATTTCAAAACATAATGATATGAGAGTATGCAGATACACATCCACCACAGAACTTGCAAGAGTGAATGTTGAAGTTTAAATTATAACTCCTCACCCTCATCATAACCTCGAAGTTTTTGTGTAGTGCTCGGGTCCTTTGACAGGGGACAAACTGAACATTCCAGCAGTAGGGTTGAATCATCATTATTGTCTGTGTTCTTTTTTTTTTTAAGGTTCACAATAGAATTAGAATAGAGAGGTGATTGTGGAGCTCTTGTATGTGAGCACACGTGAAGAAGCCAAAAAGAAGACGCGTGAAAAAAGAAATCGTGTGGGGACCACACCACGTGAATGAAGCAAATGATCAGATCACACGTTTTGTTCTCTCGTTGCGGACATCAGGCTAAAGGCCCACCCGATTTTCAAGCTGCTATTGTTTGCGTGGAAAATCGTTGGTTTCTTTGTTATTGATTCCATTGTCATCTTGAGTTACAACTTTTTGAGTTACAAAAGATCCGGTCTTTTTATAAGATCCGGTTACAACGAAAATCAAATAAAAATAAACAAAGATTACAACTTTTCTCCTTTTTGTCGAACGAATCGCGAGCTCCTGTTTTGCGGTCGCTCGCTTTTGTGGGTTCTTTGCCTGCGCCGGGGTTGTTTGCCGTGGACCACCGCGAGATCTAGATCCGGTCGGATCTACGCAGTACGACGGGTATTATTTCACCAAGGAAATAATAGCCGGGGAGGATTGTTTCACCAAGGAAACAATCGTCCAAGTCTCGGGATCTAAGACCAAGCTTAGATCCGGAGTATGCCTGCGTAGATCTGAGATCTGATCCTCTCGAACACCTGCCTTATTTGACGTTGATGATCGCCGAGCACCAGATCTGAAGGAGTGAGTCTCCGAAGTCCCAAAGTTTCAATCTTTTTTAAGTTCCGAGTCTCCAATCCAGCAGGGCTTCGCCTCTCTCCAAAATTTCCAACCTTTTGAAATGAAGAACCCCTTGGCCTATTTATAGGCTCTCGTTACTGTGCCCGTGCCCGTGTGCACGTGTGGCCAGCTCAAGGTGGCCGGCCACCTCAAGGTGGCTCGGCTCATGCCGAGCCACCCTGAGGTGGCTCGGCCACCCCAGGGGGTGGCTCGGCCTTGGCCGAGCCACCCTGAGGTGGCTCGGC